AGAACACCAAACGTGCTTGTTGCCATGGGCCCAGCAGAGAAAAGGCTCTTTGAGGCTATGCTGTCCAAAGATGTAAATTTGTTACCTGCCTATACAGATTATCAGGGAGTTCTTAGAGGTTTTCAAGTCAAGCGATATCAATGAATTGGAATTATGCACAAACCAGTTTGTGTCCTTCCTGGGTCTCTTTGCACCTTACTTTAGAAAAATTCAAGATCTTTGCAAATTATAACTAACCTGCATCTACTTGGATGAGGACATAATTTCAGATACATTGGCAAACAAACAGGAGAAAGGTAGTGCCAAATTCCTTTCTCAGTTCTCCAAACGCAACCATCTCCAGCATCTCTACATGAATGATGTCTGCTTTTCCGATGATCACATAAAAGAGTTGTCCAAATGCCTGAGGGCCTCCTTGGAGACTTTGTCTATCACTCTCTGCCACCTCTCAGAGTGAGACTCGAAATACTTGTCACAGTGTAACTGGCTTTGTCACTGAAACACCTGTGTATCAATGGTGTAGTGTTATCCATGTGAAGTCTCACACATCTCTGAATTCTCCTAGAGAAAGTAGCAGACTCTATGAATAACCTAGAATTTGAGCACAGCAATATGAAGTATGCTTACCTCAGTGTATTCCTGCCTGCCCTGAGCCAGTGCTCCCAGCTCACTGTGATCAATTTCTATGACAACAACTTCACCAGTCCTGTAATAAAGGACCTTCTGCAATGCATGGCCAATCTCAGCAAGTTGACTATAGAGCTGTACCCTGCCCCTCTAGAGTGCTATGGTAATCATGATCATGGCCTCATGGAGAGATTTTCCAAAGTGTGTCCTGAGCTTCTTGATATAGTCATGGCCAAAAGGCAGTCCAAGACAATTGTCCTTGCTCTAACCTCAGTTTTGTAGGCATTGTGTCTATGACAGGAAGATCAGACTTTGTCAGTGATGGCAGTAATTAGGAGGTTATTTCTGGATGCAGTCAAATCAAAGTCAAGGGGAGGGGGATACATCATGGGGCCCCAGAACACATGGCTTTAGACACCATTTGATGCATTGGAATCAAAATGATGTTCAGAGTATTCAGAACACGGGAGATGACATGACATGGACAACAAGGGAATAATGGAGACAGATGTCTTGTGGTATCTGAAAGACAGTTCTGCATTTCTACATGGGACAATCTGGACAGGATCACCAGTGGCTTCCCCATGTTATAAATATATGGTCAGTTTGTGAACCTGAATGCTCATCTCTGATGTGCTACTGAGTCACTGACCTCAGTTTTTGGTTTACAGTCAGGGTGTCCTGTGACCTCATGAAGTATGATGAAGGAAATTATAGTCCAAGACCTGTTAGCATCAAAATGCCCTGAAGTCATTTATCATATTCTCTTCCCCTCTTGAATTCCTACTCTTTGGCTGCTGGGAGTGCTATGTATATAGTTATCAAACCAACTGGGTCACTGCAGAACTTCTGTTTTATGAAGACCATTTTAGAGAATGGCAGATGATTTCATTTGATGATAAGAGGTGCTGTAAACATTTTGAACATGGCTGAAACAAAAGATCTTGCCTAGAGAACTGATTGAGGTGAGACCCGCTAACTATTCAGTTGTGAGTTCCATATTTTGTTAAGAGAGTGGGCAAGCCAGTCATTTTACTCCCTTTGTCACTGTATAAGTTAACAATAAAATAATTTTAATTACTCTCTAAAAAAATTTTAAAAAGTGGTCAAATCCTACACTAATACCAAAACCAGCTTTCTCTGTTGCATCTTAGATGAAGCAGATGATAAATACAAGGGACATGGCATCTCTTTAAATGGGAGATGGCATAAATTCAAAATGAAGGGATGAGTTCTTGATAGGAAAGGGAGCTGAATGAAGATATGAAAGGGAGCCCAATCACAGAAGGCTTGATAAAAGTATATATACTTTCACCAAAGAACCTGGCTATAAGACACTAGACACGGGGATTCACTCGTTTGCTAATCATACTCCTAAAGTGGATGTAGTCATGGAAGAATGGCATTCTTTTTTCTGTGATTAACTTCAGTAATAATGTATCTAATGTCCTACAAAACACATTAAGTAGATTTGAGAAAGAAGAAATGTACAGAACAATGAAATACATCTGCACATCTTCTGCCAAGGACTACGGTATGATTCATCAGACACTGTTGTGACCTATGATGTTTCTGTAAAATGACGAGGAAAAGTCAAATATACCTCTGAAGGAAATACAGTAAGAGTTAAGGGAAAAATGTGAATCCAATACCAAGTGCCAAAAGGCTCATTTATGGAGAAACTGTGAATCTCCAGTGTACAACTGAAAAAGAAAAGATGTTCCATTTATAGCTCCTTGTTTCTGCAGAGGGAAAATGGTCTCTCTCCTGTAAGGATATATCATGCCTTCTTTCTTGTTAGGCTTCCTTCTGTTTCTCTATATTTTTTCTGTGTGGTTTAAATAAAATTTCTACACAATTACTTATTCTCCATTCTGAACAATTTTTTTTGGTGGAAGTTTATTTTAAAAGTAAAATCTCATACTCCTGTGAAACAATGATTTTGTAGCCATAATAATGAAGGACCATGAGAGATGGCTTAACCTTCCTAATTGGTCAGTGACAACTCGTTTCAGGGAACTGGTTTCTGAAAGTCAAGTCAGTGGCACTTTACCCTCTAAAAGCCTACCACTCTGCAACCGTCTGGTTCCATGGAACTTGCATCAAAGGATGATGGCAGTATACTGTTGGCTCACATCTTTGTATAATTATTTTAACTGGACCCCTTGGAATGATCTGAACTCACTCTTACCAGAACCTTATGTCCCTATGCAAACACTCCCTCAAATCCTATATACAATAACAACTTGCTTAATAAAACTTTATCTAACCAACTCTTCCGTAAAAGTAATAAATTAATTTTGCTGATTAAATTTTGCATATATGACACAAACTAGAATTATGTAGGAAAATGGAATCTCATTTAAGAAAATGCTTCCATCAGATTGGTCTACGGTCAAGTCTGTAGGCATTTCCTTGATTAATGATTGATGTGAGAGGGACCACTCTAGTGTGGGCAGTACTACTTTTGGGCAAGTGGTCCTGGTTTATGTAAAAATGTAAGCTGAACAAACCATGAAGAGCAAGCCAGTAAGCAACTTTCCTCCATAGTGTCTGCTTCAGTTCCTGTCTCCAGGTTGCTATCTTGAGTTCCTGCCCTGGCTTCCCTCCATTATAAACTCTTGGACCAATATTAACTCATTCTTAATTTTCAGCTAATTTATAAGCCAAATAGTATTTTTCCTCACCAATCTGCTTTTGATCACAGTGCTTATCACAGCAACAGAAAGAAAAGTGGGATATTCATCACTGGTTTTCCTTTGAGATTATAAGTGTTGACCTCATTCATTCACTATCTTCATTGAAAATATCTCAACCTTAGATTTGGTTGGTGACATTGACAGTGTAGTGACTATTGTATGATACTGTGCATGTTTCTGTCTATATCAGTTTCTTCATATGAGTGACAAGAAGGTTGACTAGATAGCCAAGCTTCCTTTAGAATAAAGATTCAAGGATTCTGTAATACGTAAATCCTTATGTGATCTGATTGTATCATTCTCAACTCTACCTACATGTTTAAATGTTTCTTGGAAAATACTAAAATCAACAAAATGTCGCATTAAAGTTCAAAAAGATAAATGCAACTCTTTCAAGGAACTGACATCAGCATTTAACTTAGTAGATAGATCAGTACAGAGGCAGTCTCATTGTCTATTAAGGAATCAGTCCATTGCCTCTGCACTTAACTATGCTTCTGCACAATAACAGCAATTATTATTATTACTTTATAGATTATGAGTGACATGGCTTACATAGCTGCCCTCATATTGTCTTCTCGGTACAAAGCAAAATGTAACATTAAAAGCCCAACAAGAATCTGCATGCGTCCCCACCTAGTAAGCAGCTCTGTTGATAATGTACAATGAGCCTTGCAAATTGCACTTACCTAGAGCTTCACCTGGTTTTTCTTCAGACCCCCCATTTTCTTTCTTTATTTTTTCCCTTATATCATTCTATATCCTTATAAGCTTTCTTAAATCTTGTAATATGGCAAAATGTAAACAAACTGACAGGATGTTTCAAGAATGGAGTGTTCACATTCAAATTCTCACAAAATATCAGTATTGTGGGGCTGTAGAAGACATCCTTGGGTGTTTGACCACGCCCCCAGAACCCAGAGACCTAACAGGCAGTCCCACCTCCATTTAATCTGCATGGTGGGTCACGTAGGGCACAGGTAGAGGGCATGACTAACAGGCCTCTGCCTCAAGATTTACATATTAATAAATTACCTAAAGGCTAGGGGCATAGATAACTAAATTTTCATCTCCCTAGACCCTCCTCTTTCCCTCGATCCCCAATATAATGGGACCCCTCCTGGCATTTTGGGGGAGAGCATTTCATTCCAGATACAACTATTATGGCAAATAAAACTTCCATGTCTTCAATTCCACGTGTCTCCTGGAACTTTGGACTCTCTTGTGTAAGTGGGAAACTCTCCCACGGGAAAGCCTCTCCACCCCTTCCTGTTGCAGCCGTCTGTGGGGCTCTCTCCCCTGCAGCTGCGGTCTGTGCACACGCACCCTTGTGGGCTGGCTCCTTCCCGGCTCCGGGGACTCCCTTCCCCACCACCAGGCGGGCATGCTGGGTACCTACGCCCCTGCTCCTGAGACCCTCTCGTCACTGCTGGGCACGGGCTGCCTGAGCCCCAAGACACTGGCAAGATCAAACCATCAGCTGGGACCTCTGCTGTAGCACACGGGAGGCCTCATAAGAGATAAGGCATCCGAGTATGGAAGGGCTGACATAACGTCGGAAGCATTTTGTAGCGGGCGGCGGAGTTAGAGAGGAGCGGAACGGGCCTCGGGGCCTCGCCAGGGCCAAAGCAGCCAGCAGTTGGGCCCCCACCCCGGCAGTCCAAGGAATGCAGTCATGAACTCCAATGTAGAGAATCTGCCTCCCCACATCATCCGCCTAGTCTACAAGGAGGTGACAACACTGACAGCAGACCCACCTGACGGCATTAAAGTCTTTCCCAATGAGGAGGAGGATCTCATGGACCTGCAGATCACCATCGAGGGTCCTGAAGGGACTCCCTATGCTGGAGGTCTGTTCCATATGAAGCTCCTACTGGGGAAGGACTTCCCTGAATCCCCGCCCAAGGGCTGTTTCCTGACTAAAATCTTCCACCCAAATGTGGGCCCTAATGGTAAGATCTGTGTCGATGTGTTCAAGAGGGATTGGACGGCTGAGTTGGGCATACGACAAGTGCTGCTGACCATAAATTGTCTGCTGATCCACCCTAACCCAGAGTCTGCACTCAATGAGGAGGCAGGCCACCTGCTTTTGGAGAACTATGAAGAGTATGCTGCCCGGGCCAGTCTGCTCACAGAAATTCATGGGGGTGCATGTAGCACCAGCAGCAGGAGGGTTGAGGCTACCCGGGACCTGGGCAGTGGGGCTTTAGCCTCCTCTGCTGACCCTATGACCCCAGGGGTCCTAGGAGGAGCTGAGGGTCCCATGGCCAAGAAACATGCAGGTGAATGAGATAAGAAGCTGGCAGCCTAGAAAAAGTTGGACAAGAAGCGAGCGCTGAGACGACTGTAACGACTGTAGTGGGGCTCGTCTCTCTCCTTTCCTCCCCTCTTTTCTGTCCCCTCCCACTCTGTCTCTAAGTTATTTAAATTATGGCTGGGGTGGGGGAGGGAGTTGGGGGGGGGGCACCAGAACCTGGATTTGGTTTTCTAAATAAGAAGTTGGAAAAGCAAGAGAGAGAGAGAGAGAGGGAGAGAGAGAGAGAGAGAGAGAGAGAGAGAGAGAGAGAGAGAGAGAGCATCCAGATGATAATATAACAATCTATACAAAAGATGCTAGAGAGGAAAGTTCTACATGTTTATACCTGGCATCACCCAGTTGTAGGCAGTCAGTTAGAGAAGTCGAAGGAACATTTGACTTTGTTGTACACTATCTGCCTATACTTGATACTATACTAGGGTTCAAGGCTCCATGTTCAGGCCTACTTGCTACCTGACTGGTTCTGTGAACCATATTGGCACCCACTATCTTAGTATCCTAAACCCACATTAGAAGCCTGTGTGAATGAATACCAGGCCAGAACTCAATGGCCCAGACTTTAGGAGACTTTCACAAGCCACACGTGTACATAGTCTACATACACATTCACCACAAACTTATGCACATGCATGCCATATGTATATACCATATATACATATACCACATACACATAAACAACACACAGGAATCACACACAGAAATCACACACAAAAAAAACCACAAACATATAACACACACACACCATATACAGACACCACACACATATATATTACATATATACCACACATACATATAGTATGTACACATACATCATAAAAGCAACACACATATATATACCATATATGTGTGTACAACATACATGTTACACATATATACTATATACACATATTACACACCATATAGACCATATATATATATATCACCCACATGTACACTACACAAATACACATACACTCAATATACCACTCATGTCACACACACACACATAATGTATACACACAAACCAAGAAACAACATAATGAATTGCCAATCATTGTGAAATACCTAGCATAGGCATAGGAGCACAAGGATAATGAAGCACAGTACTTGTGCCTTCTATGTGGTAGAGAAGAAGCCTGAGTTGCTGTGGAGTCTGCTAAGGTGTGATGCCTTTTACCTTTTCAATGACATTACCCTTTTTCGCCCTCGGAAGTGATGAGTGATCTTTATATCATGCTTTTCATCATAGTTTCACTAAACAAAAATGCCTCAATGATATATGATTTATTTTTAACATCTTTTAATTTTGGTAACGTTTCATAAAACTACTGTGTGAAATTTCATATAATTTTGTGTGTCCTGTTGTAAGTGATGCCCTGCATTTGAAGGTGGGCTGGACCTAGTGGTTTTCCTCTATCAAAGTGAATACAGAAATAGTGATGGAACATCACTCCCAGCATAAAGCCACAAAAGCCTGTGACTTCCTGACTTCCAGCATGTTCGCTCTCTCTCTCTCTCTCTCTCTCTCTCTCTCTCTCTCTCTCTCTCCCTCTCTCCCTCTCTCCCTCTCTCCCTCTCTCCCTCTCTCTCTTGCTTGCACTTCCTGTCCAGCTCTTTTCACTGTCTTCAGGAAGCTCTATTGGACTCACAGTCCTAGAGTCACCTTAATCTACCTACATGCCTCCATTTCAAGTATATATTTTAATTTGTGTATGTGTATATATATGTTGCATGTGTTTGTATATGTGTTGTGTATATAAGTTGTGTGTGTGCATATGTGTCTATATATACATATATATAATGTGTATATGTAATTAGGTATATATGATGTGTATATGTATTGTGTGTATATACTTTGTGTGCATATATTTGCATGTGTGTATGTATATAATGTATGTATATATGTGGTGTAAATATTTTTATATATTGTTTGTATGTGCATATATGTCCTATATGTCTGTGTATATATGTGATATACGTATGCATATTTGTCATATATGTGTGTGCATAAATACATACATAAATAAAAAGTATTAGAAATCATAAAAGGAGCATAAACTACAGATAGAATTTAATTCTATGGTAAAATTAAAGTAATAATAAGCAGATGTTTGTTATAAATATTGTTTTCAAAACACGGTAAAGTAAATAATATTCTTTTATTTCTCAAATTTTTGTAAGATACATCTGGACATTTACACAAATGCTTTTCATCTTAAGCCATCACATGTTCTAGTTTGGGGGATATAAACACCTTAAGACTACTCCCCTTTGTCAGACTATGGTTTTCACTCTAAGAGCTCATGTGCTAGAGGCATGGTCCTCAACAGTGGTATTAAAGGTGTTAAGACTTTTAAGAAGTGGGATCAAGTCCCACAGTGAAAAATTTATAATCCTAGAACTCGGGAGGTAAGGCAGAAGGTTCAAGACTAAAAGAACAGCTTCAAGTACATAGTAAATCCCAGGCTTGCTAGGACTACCTGAAATCCTGTCTTTTTTTTTTTCTTTTTTAAGAAAAAAAAAAGAGTCATGAGGTTACTCAGGGCATCGCCGATGGAAAGAATTAGTACAGAAGTCATGGGGTGGCCATTAATTCAAGAGTGACCCTTCCTTGTCTCTGGCTCTCAGCCCACCCCTGGAACACACTCATGCTTTTCACACTCCAGCATGATGCCATCTGCCATGGTGTGGCTCAGCCTAGAGATTTTACCAAAGCTGTCACTATACTGTTTGGAGTCTCAAAGTAATGTCTTCCTAATGGGTTGCCAGTTTCAGTGCTACCTCCCTCCCCTCCTCCGCCCCCCCCCGCCATCCTCCACCACTGCCTCCGACTTCTCTTTCTTGTTACCACTCTGAACTAATTGATCACTACCAAACTGTTGATTCCTGCATGTGTCTCTCCTCAAATCCTCCGACATTACTAACCCTTCTCTAAATACCACTCCCACAGTCACAAATAAATATAACAAAAACATAAACATATAAAATAAACAGATTAGAGAGAATTGGGAACTCCTGATGTCAAAGGGGCCTTTCTATAAAGTCTTCACACACAAGAGGACAGCTCATCCTAGAGCCAGAGGACCACTCACCTTCATCACACCTAGCCTTTAAAAGACACACTCAGCTCTTTGGAGCCAGATTTCTGCGGTCACTACCTAGAGCCTCACTTTGCTGCCTTACTTTGTTTTGATGTCATTCATTAGCTGCAGAATGGCTTCCATACTTCAATGTCAGCTGCAAGTCTGCATGTATAGGTTAAAACCATTTCAAATACGTGTATGAAATGTACACTTTACATATACTTCTGCTTTCTCACCCATTCTTTTAAAAATACAAACAAAAACCCATGGACTATATATATGTGACTATCACTGCCTATATGTTTTACTTCAGATACAGCTTCTTCCATTTGAGTGCTATTCGGTGACCATCTCTACTAGGCTGTTCCAATTAGTGTTCTGATCCTGAGGCCTATTGTCACCCCACCTGCACCTCTCAGCCAGCTCTCCACTTCTCTGTAGATAAATGTCACACTCCCATGTGGACACTCTGAATTTTCCTCTCCTGTCTTGGAACTGATAAAAATTCTCAGAGTTCTCACATGTTTCTGGCTCAGGAGACCCCTCAGGTCAATGGTAACAACACCCCATGTTCCTGATCCTTCCTCCCCATTCACTACCTTCCCTGGCCTTACTCCCTGGTCTCTTCCTATCTCTGTATGTCCTGTATGTTCAAGTCTCTTCCTTCTGAGAAAGCAGTACAGAGCGAATCCTTTCCTTCCATAGTAGCTTTTCTTTAAGCAACCATTGTTCCTCTTTCCAATAACAGCCAGACTGCTTAACACAGACTGCTTAGCTTTGACCTTGACCATTCTCCATCTGTCTTACCTTTTTACTATTGTAACTCACCTGCATCAGGTTCTATCCTAATCCTACTCTGGATCCCACTTGTCACTCTAATTAACTTCTCATGAGACAGATCATGTCGGTGAACTTTCTGTTGCTGTGGAACATAGCTGGAGTAAACAGCTTGTAAAAAGAAAAGTCTTGTTTGGGAATATGGTTTCAGAGTTTTGGGAGGTTTTTGTGGTTTTGGGGTTTTTGTTTTGTTTTGTTTTGTTTTGTTTTGTTTTGTTTTGTTTTGTTTTGTTTTTTAAGTCCCTGGTCAGCACTCTGCTTCTTTGGGGCTTATGGTGAGGCAGACTATAGAGACAATAATGTGTCCATGAAGTGGAGAAAGGAAGGGCCTAGGAATCCCCAAATACCTGTCAAAAGCACACCATCCGTGATGAAATGTATTTCCAACAAACTACAACTCCATAAAATGCGATTATCTCTCAGTAGTGCTACAGGCTGGTACCATGAGCCTTTGAGCTATATTTCTGATACATTCTATAGCAAAGAGACCTTAGGACCACTTTGTCCCAAGACCTTGTAAATACCTAACACACCTTAATGCTAATATTTTTTTTCTGTTAATTGATAACTGTGAAACAGCTGCTCACTGCTCTGATTACACTACTTGTGGTTGTTTGAATGAGATATCTCCCATATTCACTGGCATTTAAACACTCAGTCCCCAGTTGGTTGCTATTTGGGGAGGATTAGGTGGTTCAGCCTTTTCTGGAAAAAAACATGCCACTGGGAAAGAGCTCTGAGGTTTCAAAAGACTCTGCCACATCAAGTTAACTCTCTGTGCCCTGTTTTTGAATGAATCTCTAAGCTGTCAGCTACTGCTCCAACATCATACCTGACTGCCGCCATCCTCTCATCACTGTGATGGTTGCCCTTCTGGAACCACAAGCTCCAGTTGAATCCTTCCTTCTGTAAGTTGCCTTGGTCATGAGGTTTTATCACAGCAGAAAAAAACTATAAGAATGCTTGTTCAATTTCAATGATATCAGATACTTTTGTTTTCTCCTCACTCTGGTTCTTCTCACACTTTTTACAAGACGACTTATTATTATTATTATTATCATCATCATCATCATT